GTATATGCATGACTGAAACATACTATACACCAGAAATTGACACAACATTGTAAACTGATTATATGTCAATTAAAAAGGAAAAAGCAAACCACTGAGCCAAAAAAAAACAACAACCCACTGGTCTAGTCTTGTTCTTCCTGGTGTGGTCCAGAGACTTTAACATTGGCATGACTTAGCAGCCAGCTGGAAATGCCGTCCCAGCCCCAACTGGACCTATGCATTCAGCATCTGCAAGCTCCCCAGGTGATTTGTAGGCACATGTGAATGGTTTATTAAAGGTCGAGAAGCACTGATCTAAACCACATAGGCCTTCAGGGCTCAAGTAGATAATGTCAGTGAGTCACTGGTTTTCTTTCTAGAGTACAGCAATGAGAAAGCAAGGTGATGTGAAGTTCAAGCATTTTCACTTGTTTAAAAACGTCATGTATTGTACCAGTGGGGGTTAACACGTCCAGCCAAGCTCATCAACTTAAGGTTAACTGCAACTGACATCAATGACTTCAAGCAGATTTTGAACCTAAATTTTAATAGAGCTCATAATAATCTCTTCTGATTTCTTTTAGGAATTTATTAAGGAGCTGCTCTCTCGGATAAGAGGCATGAGGAAACTGAGCCCCCCGCAGAAGAAGACTGTGTAATTCTGGCACAGGTGGAACTTCCCTGGAGACCGAGGAGGGGATTTGGTCTTCATGAAGACGTTTATTAAAGAATAGTTGTCCTTGTGAGCAACTATTTTGGGGGAGGGGGGTGGTATCTATTAGACATTTATTCAAGAGCATTTTTTGTTTGTTTGTTTTAAAAGATTTTGTTAGTGTAATATTTGAATTGCAAAGATATCATTACTCTGGTTTCAGCCCAACCGAAAATTACCAAACCAGGCAGACACGCAAGGATGGGCTGGTCCAGGCAGCATCTTTTTGGAGAAATCAGATGTTTAGAACTTAACTATACAGGGATGACGGTTTTCTTACAACTAGCTTGGTAATACTTTTTTCTTAAGTTGTACATTTGACTCAGATGTTGAATTTCTCGTACTTGTATATATCTACACGCAACTAAGTTAAAATGTAGATGTGAGTTTTATTTCACACGAGTGGAATAAACTTGTGGTCATCCTTTCATTGGAGGTCACAGCACGTGTGTTTTCAAGAGGCCACTAGGTATTCTTCATGCAAATACTGTTGACCTTCAACGTTCACTTAATGCACCAAAGTGAAAGAATTCAGTGTATCCGTTATTTTAATGAGCTACACTACAAAAATGTGGACTTGGTCAAGGGCTTAATGTATGGACTTTGTATTATTTCATTAATCAGGATGCTTTGCCAGGTCATGTACTTATTGCCTTGTTTGTGGTATTTTAAAGTTTTATGAACCTTTTATTTGAAGAACTATTTGGATTTCTAGAGAAACGCCCACGCTATCTGAGTGCTGTTTTGCGGTGGAACAAGGAAGCACCGTGTAGCAATTCATTCTCTGCTTTCAGCCAAATACTGTGTATTATTCTCTCTCCATGAAAGCAGGTCAGAAGGAAGTTAGTGGAGGATGTATTCTTCCTCCGTAGAAGTAGATCTGGTCACTTCTGTGTCTGGGCAGCATCAGATCAGAACAGATGAGCTGAGTGATGGGTGGGTGTAAATGGGAGAAAGCTTCACCTCCTCCCAAGAAAGCTGATACAGGAGCATTTGCTGTTTGGAAGCGGAAGCATGATGGCGATTTCATTGCCAGCTTCCCTCTGTGGCGTGTGGTCAGGACTCTGGCTTCTGGACCTAATTTTGCACCCCATCCCCTTGTTTGGAGCTGAGCCTGGGGCACCTGCCCTGCCCCTCTCAGCTGTCTACCGGCTCCTTGGAGAAGGATCAGAGTTCAGATGGATGTGGGCGGGGTCAAAGGGCAGGGTAGAAACTCATCCTTCCCTCTGGGAGGCCCCCACTGCCTCCCTGCGGAAACCCCACATACTGCAAGGTGTCTCCAGGTGGCCCTGTCGGAGCACAAGGGTCAGGCATTTTATATCAAGGGTGCTTTGAACATATTTTATTTTTTCAAAGAACTATGTTTGTGAATTTTATGTATACTGGCAAGCTTTTGAAAATGTATTTAATTTTGTAATGTTTACCAATGATTTATTTACATGCTATTTACTCAAATAAATGGAGCTGCTTACAATTCTGTTTACATGTTTGCCTTGCAAAACGACGCTGACGTGATGATTTTACTTTGTTCAGTGCTCTGCAGACAAGGGCACAGGGCGCCTAGCTGGCTTTTTATTTTCAGGTCTTTTCAGGTATTCGATCGTGTTCTTGGCCTGAGATATCTTCAGATCAGAGGGTGAAAGCAAAGGAGCTGGGACACGTTCCCAGCTTGAGAAGGAGACAGAAAATAATTCTGCACGCTCAGCTCTGCCGGCCTTCTGTTCCCACACTCTCCCAGGCCACGCACCTTGCATTTCATTAAAACTCCCTTTTGCCCATCTGATGTAAACCCTCAAGAAGATTTTAGATTAGTCAGATATTCCAGTTATTGTGAGAATGCCAGGCACCCTATAAGTACAGAAAAATACAGAATTTGCAGGGCTTCTTAAGTCTTGACCAGCCCAAGTGATGGTCTTCAGATGAAACAAGAATGAACTTTTTCCTCCAAAGGCTTCTGATCCTACCACGTAACATGCTCCCTGCCTTTCCGCCCTTCCCTTGCTCAGGGCCTGGCGTCGGCGACTCCCCAAGTTCTCAGGCCACAAGCTGGGACCTCCTCCTTGACTCCTCATCCCTGTCCCAACATGCCCTCCGTCACCAAGCTCTTCCTCCGCTAATACCTGTCAGCCCTGTTCATTGTGGGGTCTGGCCTCAGTTGCTGCTGCCGTCTTGGAGCTGGCTTCCCCATGTCCAGTCTCACCTCCCTCTCGTCGATTCTCCACCCACCAGCCAGAATAATCTCTCCACAAGACGGCTCTGATCGCTCCACCCTCCCCTACTTAAAACCCAAACCCCTTGTATTTCTTACAAAGAACTCGTCCCTGCTTCTCCAGCTTCACCTTTTGGCCTTGGACTGATGTCCAGTCCTACAGAATTCCATGGGGCCTGGAATGTTTCATATATTTTTGTCCTCCAGAGCTTTGCAAAAAACTATTGCCTCGGTCTGGAACACCCTCTCCAGCAACAGGCTCTGTCTGGAGAGCTGGATTAGGTCCCTTCTAAACGTATACGGAGCTTCTAGTGTTTTCCCTGATATAGCACGTCCCCACAGTATTATTACCATCTATTCACCTATGGTCTCTTCTCTTAGACCCTAGGATCCTTGAGATTGGGACTGGGTCTTATAAATCAAGCACCTGCTCCTGTGCTTGGCGCTTCCAGGAGATCCCCCTGTGTTTGCCAGTTGAATATATGTGATAAAAGATTCTTCAAAAAAACTGAGCTGTTTCCTTCCTAGCTTGGAGAGTGGTTTTTAGACCTGAGTGTATGTTTGAATCACTTGGGAAGCTTTAAAAACAAGTGACGCCTAGACCCTAGTCCAGATCAACTTAATCAGAATCTGTAGAAGCAGAGCTTAGGCATTTTTTAAGGCCCCCGGGTCGAGGGCCCCTGGGCTGCTGAGTCATTCTTGTGTAGTCTGATCTGACTGCTGCTCACCAGGTTTGTGCTATTGCAGTAGGTGTCAGTGATGACGTCAGCCCATTCACTATTTCTCACCTTATTTTCTACTGGAGACAAATTAAAGCACAGCACTAAGGGAATGACTCCATAGGACCCAATGTCTAGCTCACTGATGGCTTGAACACTGGGAAGTTGAAGTTTAAACTTTATGGAATGGCATCCCTTTACAACAATCATAATAGTAGTTCCTGTTTATCACTGTGCTAAGTGCTAACTTGCTGTGTCTCATTAAATCTCGATGTTAATCTTGTGAGGTGGATGGCATAATCCTCATTTTACAGATGAGGGAATCAACTCAGAGAGGTTAAGCAGCTTCCCTGAGGTCACACAGTTACAGAGCTGAGATTCAAACCCAGTTCTGTTTCACTCCAAATTCTCTGACCGTTCGGCTTATCTGCCTCTTACACGGTGTTACTCTCAGTCCCACCCACAGGCGTGAAAGCCGGCAGCTGTACTGGTGAGTCGGGGCCCTGAGCTGCTGGTGGGGGCGTGAGGCTCTGTGGTTGGCGTGGTCCTCGGCCACCTGCCGGTTCTTCCTCAGTCTTGAGGACCAAGGGGCTCTCCGATCCTGAGCCGCGCGGCAGCCAGTCTCTGTGCTGCCGCTTCTCTGTTTCAGGCTCTTGCCTCTCCTCTGAGGAGAAGCTCCTGGACTTGGCCTTGGCAGCTGACCACGAAGTACCCTTTCATCAGTTTTCTGAGAGGGCAAAATTGGGAGAAGGAGCAGCTCAGGGTAATGTGGGTTTTCAACTCTTGCAACACACAGTTACTTGATTTTTGTTTCCAACCTAGAGTCCCCATAACAGATTGTGTGCTGTGCAGAATCAGTTTATCAGCAACAGACGAGGATGTGATTCTCCCTGACTCTTCCCAAGAAGACGAGATGGTTGGGAACATGGGCTCTTTCTGAGTCGTGTTTATCATTTGACAGAGGGTTGCAGACTGCAGCGGCCCCTGCCAGGAGATAGCCAGCCAGGCAGTAAGCCCACACCTGGAGATGCAGGTTGGGGAGCATCTGGGACTTCTTCCCTTTCCAGGGTCAAAGTAGGAGGCAGGTGTTGGCCCTGTGGCTTAGTGCTGCGCTGGGCACTGCTCCACGCCCAGCCTACTAGGACTGAGCTTTTCATTCCTTTTGCCGTCCCTCCAGTGTTGCTCAGCAAGACGCCGGGCCCAGAGCCAGCGCTGCATGTGACTGATTGCTCGGGGAAAGGCAGGCCCCACTGCTGATGGACACCTCGCACACCCACCTCAATTTTTCCTTTGCGCATGCTGGGGATTCCCTCAGCTTCTCTGGGCCCTTCCCTGAGAGCAGGCACTTTGGGGGAGCTTCCTGCTGGCCCTGTCATCCTCCTCCTTCCACCCCTGCTTCGGGCACTAGCCGCAGGACCCTTTGATGGTACAAATGATCTAAGATGACATGGTGGGGAAATCCTGTGGGAGGGGACCTTTTGTCTGTGGTCTGTCTAAAAACATAAAAGAACTCAGTTTATTTAGTAACTGGAACTTGGGGAAAGCCATTTTCAAATTGGACACAGACAGAGATACCAGTGATTTTCCCCACTGCTGTGTCTTCTTCCTTGAATTTATTTCAACCCAAATGATCCTGGAGAGCTCATGCCTAAGAGCTCACGCCATTCCCTTTGGGATCTGGGGTGTAACTTACTGTGTGCTTGTAATTTGCCTGTGGAAACTCAGATGGCTTCTCGGTCTTCTCTGAGTGAGAGAGAATGATCTGGACTTTCTGGAGTTCCCATCCACCCCCACTCATGCACAAGGGCTGGAAATGCTTCACTGAAGTGTTCTGAGCCACCGTGGTGTCTCTTGCCTGGGGGTGAGTTGTTTGTACAAGACTGGACTGTTCTCCATCTGTCTTGGCTGTGTGGGTGTTCCCACCGCAGCACACCAGACGGGCATCTCAGTGGAGCACTGATATTAGACCAACCGCGAATTAGGTCCTGGAAATCTGGTTTTCTGGTGCTTTTATTGGGGCCATTAGATAAATAAGACCAGATTTATCTCTGGTTCATATTTTCTTCAGTTTCAGGGACTAGGGTATTAAATGGTATACCAAGTAGGGTATTAAATAACCTTGCTGGCTTGGGTTCATCTTGTTCTGGTGGATTCTAGAGGCAGGAAGTCCTATCAAGCATAAGGGGTTAAAAAAAGTGCACTTTTAATGTCAGTGCTATGTAGACTTGATCATGTATATATACAGTCAGTGTTATAGGGGGGCAGTTCTACATAGGTCTCTCAAGTTTCTGAGCAGACACTGACTTGGCTTTGGACAACTGTTTCCAAGTATGTTTGTATGTACAGCAGTCTTGGAGGATAGAGATAATTTCTCCGCCTAGAGCAAAAAGCAGGCGAGCTTACAGCACATTATAAAAGATGTGGATTCCCTCTGTTCAGGTTCTCTCTCCCGTAGTGCAGCCCTCTGCAAGTGCCATTGTCACCCAGCCTTCTTTGCAATCCCCTGTGAGAACTGGGACTTGAAAAATCACCCCCTCAAAAATGCTGCTACGCTGGCTGTCACTACTGCTGTGGGTGATAAGCTGTCCTTTCTCTCTGACCAGGGATTGTCAGGTCTCTGGTGAGTCCATGACGCTGTGGCAGGCTAACTTGTCAGCTTGGAAGTAGGGTCAAGTCTCTTCCCTGCCCAAGTGTTGACATTGGTAGTTTTGTGGATCTCTTTGGGCATGACTTGCGCCATTCTTATAAACAGCAGAGCTTTCTTGTTTTGTTTTGTTTTCAACCCTAATTTAACCCATCGCTTTCAACTAGGCAGGGTCAGAAGTTTTCTTTGAAGAGACTTCATGCCCGGAAATGATCATTTTGTGGACAGAATTTACTTTCCCAAAAGTCACTTCCTGTCTTCCTCCTTGTTCACAAAAGGGGGATGCTGCCCGGGGGAGATCAGGGAAAATGGGTCAATTAGCGAAATGTACCTAATTTACAAAAAGTGACACTTTAGAGTGAGGCAGAGAAGACAAGCAAATGGCAGTTCTTGCCTTGCATCTTCCTCTTTAAAATATGTGCCTAAATGTTATGCACAGCATATTATCACCTGAAATTTTCAAGTTCCCAAATTAAACTCCAAAAGTAGTTTTACGATCATAATTTATTTGCAGGGTCACAATCCACCCAGTGGTAACTGAACCCCAAAATAAGAAAATGAACTCATGGAATGAATATCTGGCGCTCCCAGATCACAAAGCAGTCCATTGAAAGTGTAACCCGACGATGCCCCTCAGGGTCACTAGTTGCTTGACGGTAAGTGATGTACTGTTTTGTTTTCCTATGGTTAGTAGTAGAAAGTTACTCCTGGAGTGGATTGGTTTCTTAAAAGGGGCCAGTACTGACTCAAACCCTTTTCCAATAGTTATGGATTATGGGACGAATAAGACAATTTACCTTTTTTTAAAAAAACACATTTTTATAGCACTCAGCACAGCGCTTCGCTCTTTTTGGCTGTCATCCCAACATGGGGAGCCACAATGTACAATCTACAGTGTAGGC